TTTCCATTCCATATTTCCATTCCATATTTCCATTCCATATTTCCATTCCATATTTCCATTCCATATTTCCATTCCATATTTCCATTCCATTTTATATTCTATTCTATTTCATTCCATTCCTTATTCTATTCTATTCCATTCCATTCCATATTTCCATTCCATATTTCGATTCCATTCCTTATTCTATTCTATTCCATTCCATTCCTTATTCTATTTGATTCCATTCCTTATTCTATTCTATTCTATTTCATTCCATTCTATTTTATTCTATTCTATTGTAAAGAGGTGGTGCTGACATCACAATATTGTGGCTACCATCTTAACTGTTTTGATCTTTTCAAGAACACCCTTACCGTAAATTAGAGGCAGATGTGTTGTGTTGATGATAGCAAAGAAAGGCAAAAGGGTTTTGTCAAGCAAAAGGCATAAGGAATTGCTCACACCAGCAAACGCACACATAGGGAGCAATTGCCTAACCACTGCATGCTATTTGTCTATATTGGAAAAATGTCCTGTTGATTTTAAAAAATAAATAGCGTGCATAAAGTCACCTTATTGGCATTCATGTCCCATGTAGAACCATGCCTTGAAATGTAACATAAATGATTCAGAGAAAAGGAAGCTAAAGAGAGATTAATTTTCAGAAAGCTAGGAGCAAAATCCGTCAGCACTAAGAAGTTTGGAAATAAGGTACTTTTTTGGAATACCCAATGAGCCGTTACTCATATTTAAAAAAAAAATGCAAGCAAAAATATACACGGGGGCTAAGAAAAACATATCCTGACTCGCCATGAAACTTACTTCAACCACAATATTGCTAAATAGATTTCTGTGCAAACAGGATAAGCCACACTTGCTGGTTATCAACCACTGCATGGATTCAACAAAGAGTTTAAATTATTCTTGGGGGTTGATTGCACACAGTGGTGAAATCTAATTTTTTGGGGGGGCCACCGGTTCTGTGGGCGTGGCTTGGTGGGCTGGGACTCGGGAAGCAGAGAATAGACGGGGCGGGGCCAGCCAGAGGTGGTATTTACTGGTTCTCCGAACTACTCAAAATTTCTGCTACCGGTTCTCCAGAACTGGTCAGAACTTGCTGAATATCACCTCTGATTCTGTCTTTTCTTAATCAACTATTTCACATAGCGCAATGTGATGTGAAGCACAGAGAGTATTTATTGACGGAGTAAAATGGTCATGTTTTAATTCAAATCGACAGGAAAAAAAACCCCAAAACCAGGTCAATTTTGCTGGCAATTCAGAAAGAAGATCATTCCTCGTGATTGCGGAATACTTACTTGGAATGCATGCAAAGTAACTGAAGCCAGCTAGCTATATAAGTCAACATATTTATGGTCATGAAGATAAAACTGATGCCAGAAATCCCTAATTCTTCATTTTATGGCTTAGAGGAACACGGTGTCATTACAAATGTGTATCAGATATCTAAGATATATCTGAAGATAATTAAATGGCTTTTCCTTAATATAGACATGCTGCACGCCATATTTTATTAGAAGTTCTTAGAGCCAGATGACTCCCTCTAGTGATTTTGCAATATGGGGTGAATGAAGACAAAGTCTTCTACTAATGTCCTTAGTCAAAGATATGATTCTCCAGAACTGCTGGAAAATAAAAATTCATTACAAGTAGTCCTTGACTTACAATCGTTTGTTTAGTGACCTTTCAAAGTAACAATGGCTATTCCGTCCTGTCCTGTCCCGCCCTGTGGCATTCAGTTTGTTCTCAAGTTAGGACTAGAAATATTGCTGTATCCTTTTCACGTCGACAGTGATTGTAGTTGCTTGAGGCCATGTGGACAGAAAGTGTTCCGGATTACAGCTGGATCTTTTCCTGCTGCCTCTCGATTTAGACCCACGGAATTAAAGCATCCTTTAGTTGCCCCTCCCGAATGATGAATGTATGTTGCTTATTANAAAAATTAAGCAAGTGACTTGATCTGCAGGGCCGAATTTTAAGTAATTGCCCTCCCCTTCCTGATACAAGCGTCCGTTTTTCATCCATGCACGTCGCTCAGAGAAACGTTCAAACGCGAGATGGGCAGCGGCATCAACTCGGAGAAATAAATGGTGGTCTCATGGGGTGAAACCGCAAATAAATAAACCCAATAAATAAATAAATAAATATAAATAAATAAGCAACCTGCGCTTCAACAGAAGCAAGCGAGATTTGACTCCCTAATGGAAAAAAAAAAAAGCTGAATTCTTGCCAATGAGGACAGAAGCAGGGAAACAATGAGGAGAGAAGCAACAAAACATTGTGCATCTCTTGACTAATTTTGGCAAAGCATGATGTCCACTAAGACAGAGGTTCCCCAAATCCCAGTCTGGGGAGTACTACCAGGCTGCGCCCTATTGAGAACCGGGCCACCAAAGTGTTGTGTGCTTCAAACCATTCCCCCCCCCTCCCCTGCCAAAATGCCGATGGCGGCCCACAGAACCAAAAAACTGGGGGACCCCTGCACTAGGGTACGAAAGACCTTCCTGCCAGATGTGAACTGAAGAGCTACCACACCTGGTCTGCAAATACCCACGAAACCACTAGACACACAAAAGATTTAAGGCGGGTTTTTCCCGGGTCACCAGAGACTTTGCGGGTGTCTCTGGGACCATTGGATCTCCCCCTACCTTTCACTGTCTCTTCGGGACAGCTTAGGTCCAAAAAGAACCGTCCAGATGATCCGGTTTAGATGGACATTCAGAAGCAGCCTGAAAGTCCGTCTTCACACTCCTTCCAGCCCATTCTGAGTCCTCTAGAATCACGTTTGCAATATTCATTCCATTCTACTAAGAGTATTTCTTTGGGATGGGAACGCCTGCAAAAACTCCCTTTTTAAAAAAGTAGAAAAATTAGGAAACCTTGCTTCGTCATTCCTTCTTTAATCATCTCTTGAACCTAACAGAAATAGCACTTAGATGTATATACCGCTNAGAAAAAGGAAAGGAAAGGAGAAAAAGGGAAGTGAAGGAAAAAAAGAGAAGGGAAAGGAAAGGAGGAAGAGGGAAGGAAAGCAAACGAAAGGAGGAAGAGGGAAGGGAAGCAAAGGAAAGGAGAGGAAGAAGAGGAAAGAGAAGGATCTTAACCATCTCCTAATCTAACCTTGAGAGAATCCAAGTTCTGAACAAGCCTACATCCATCACTCTCCCTTTCATAATGTCATCGGTTGTATGCATTCTTAGTTCCCTTTGTATTCTTGCAAAAAAAACAACAACCCAAAACTTTGGGGTCAGGGGAGATGAAAGGAAACATAAAATTAGAGAAAGCAACTGACCATCCACACCACATGAAAACTTGCAGAAAAATGAAGACAGAGGTGGGCATCGTAGCAGTGGCGAAGCTCCTGGTGCATAGAGGCTGATCCTAATAGTAACGGGGTAAAGTCGCAAACGGAGGAAAGAAAAGGAAGAGACACAGAAAGAAACACACAGAGAAGATGAAATCTCATGCAAAGTTGGCTGGCCGACAGAAGAGATAATGCGAAAAGCAAAATGAGAATAATAATAAAAAAGCAAAAGATTTTACGGAGAGAACTGGAAAGGAAACTTAACCCAGGATATCAAAACGCTATCGTTACCTGGCTAACATAGAGAAGAGCACATCAAGCTAAATAAGCAAGACTCCGCTGTACGTTCACACACAAATATCCAGTCTTGTCGCTCGAGGTAGACATCAAATGATGTCTTCACCCTCGTTCCCAGCAAAGAGGAACTTCCCGTGTGTCAACATTTATCACGGCTCAAACACGGGGTTCTGACGTTCTCACACACACGTTTTTGTCGCAACCTACAATCTTGGATTGTAAAAGTCTGGCCTGAGCAAACTCTCTCGGAGTCACAGAGTCATAAGACTCGGAGGGCTGGAAGCAGAGGTGGGTTCCTACCGGTTCGCACCGGTTCGGTAGAACCGGTTNAATTTTTGAAACCCACCACTAGTGGTAAATGTTTCAAAATTCAGGTTTTCCATCAAGATAACCCACCAGCCACCCTTACGGTTTAATCCTTTGAGCCTCCAAGTCATGGAAGCCAAAATTTACACTCTCCCCTTTGAGAATCTACCTGCATAGAAGTGATATGAGAAAACCACCTCCCCATAATCATCCGTCCCATTGTGTTTGTTCTCTTGTGTTTTACTTTACTCAAGAAAGGCCGTTGATTTCCAATGTTTGTATATTATTAGCAGACAGCACTTCTGAAAACCAACAGCTATGTTTTTGGGTGGATATTAAGCAAGCCAAGTTGTTTTCAGACTGATTATGTTCTTTTAGATTGCTGATTTGTTGCTGTTACGGTTTTACAGGGGGGGGGGAGGGAGGGGGCAAGATTTTATATTCCACAGTATTAGCTCTACAAACTCACCCAACGTCGATTGGAGCTGTGCAAAGTTTTGACTGAAGAACATTCCGTTTAAATCATCCTTTTGAGTGATGTTCAAACCACAAATTCAAACTGACTCAACACAATTTTTTTTTTTTGAACCGAAATGCAAATTCTAATTAAGTTGACTCGAATCCTTAAATTAGATCTTGGCTGGTTCACATACCCATATTGTCTGCATAAATTCAGGGAGTACAACATATGGATGCATAACAGGAATGAGAAGTGGAGCCAGCCCAGAAGTTCTATCTCGTCAAATGCTTTCTTAATTGACAACTAGAAGTCCGTAGTTAGGCCAGGAGATTTTCCTTCTTCAGAAAATTACTAAAAACCGGATGAGGGATGATAATTGTGTAAAGCCTATGTCCCTTGCTTGAATTGTGGCTCATCCCTTCCATGTCAAAATTAAAGATCTACAAAGACGGTGAAAGGAAAATAGAAATTCTAGTGTATTTATCCTAATAGACCTTGAGAGAGAGAGAGAGAGAGAGAGAGAGAGAGAGAGAGAGNAGGCAGCCGGCAGTCAGCAGAAGTAGCCTGCAGTACTGCACTCTAAACACTGTGCCACCATGGCTCTTAACTTTATCTCATAACTTTAACTCATAACTTTAACTTTAACTCATAACTTTAACTTTAATCCATTACTTTAATTTTAACTCATAATTTTAACTTTAATAACAATGTTAGAACAAGCTGAAGTCAGGGATGGGACAACTCCCCGCAGCCAACTCACCATTGGACAATTCAACAATTCAGTTTAAGTGTTCAAAATAATTAAAGAAATGATTTTGATTTTTGTCATTCCAATGTCATGTCGTCCCTCCTTTTGCATCCTCCCTTTCACGATTCTGTCCCACCATTTCTTTGATATTAAGGTAATATCCCGCAGCAAGTTGGCCACGCCAAGATCGCCACGCTGAATTGTCCTAGATCCACTAAAGTCAGTGGTGGGATTCAGCCGGTTCGCACCACTTTGGGAGAACCGGTTGTTAAGTTTCTGAGAAGTTTGGTGAACAGGTTGTTGGAACGAATCATTAGGGCAGGGAACCGGTTGTTGAATTATTTACATCCCATCACTGGCTAAAGTGCGGATGAAGAAATGAAGAAAATTTACAAGGGCGCTCAGCTAAAAATCGGAAAATAAATGGAACCGGACTAAGGAAAAATAAAAAATAAAAACCCGCCACTCGTTTATGACGAAGGCATTCTCAGAAATTCCTCAAAATCTTTGGGCTCCACATCAGATGAAAGTCACTTGCCCATACAATGATATTTTACGGGGTTTCTCATACAAAGAATTGCAGTTTTTAGAAGAATTCTGCGATATCAAGCAAGCCACACATTCATTGGTGAGTTTCTAAAAGTCCTTGATTAAAATATTCTCTTCTCTGTCTACAACGTTATATACTCCAAGCTAATTCATTTACTGACTGGACTGATGTTTGAGTTCACGCTAAATCCATATTTTTACTTCAAAACAAAGGGTCAATGGGTTGTGTTTCCCCAAAAATAAGACAGGGTCTTCTTTTCTTTTGCCCCGCCCTCCCCCAAATAAGCAATTGGCCTTATTTTGGGGGGAGGTCTTATTATTTTTGAGCTGCAGGAGGCCCCTTAAACTTGGCCCGGGAATCAGCTGATCTAGAGAGGGCTGGAAGTTCTGTTTCTGGCACACTCTTGCCATTCTTTTTGCGACCGTCACTAAGAGGAAGGGCACGGTAGCTAGGGTTTGGGGGAGCGGCCTCCGCAAGGTCAGGTGCATGGGGGGCACATTGGGCATGTAACCCCTCCCTCCAAAGAAATGGCGGGGACTAGCTGCGAAATGCGTTTAAATATTTTCGGGGAGAGCGTATTTTCAGGGGAGGGTTAATATTAGTGCATTGGCTCAAAAGTGCAATTGGGCTTATTATCCAGGGAGGTCTTATTTACGGGGAAACAGGATATTACAGGGTTTGCTTTGGGTTTTCCAATTTTTTTTCATTCCTTTTTTTTTCCATTTTGCTATTTGTGACATAAAGCAGAAGTTAAGATGCTGCATAATAATTGGAAATAAGTTTTCTGGGAGCAAGCAGTTATTATTATTATTTTTTTAACCCTGCAATAAATGGCTGTCAATTTGATTGACTGGACCTGTAAATAGTAATTCAGGTGAATGTTTTTCATCTAGAAAACCCATTTTTCCCCCCATTTGAGAAGATAATTAAATGTACCCTCTTCTGTTTTTTTCCAGCTTCTACATTGCACAGTCGATTCAGATATCTGTTTAACAATATATTACTTAAGAGTCAATTGCATCACACCGCAATATTTGGTTTCTCACACAGCAGGAAAAGAAAAATCACCCAAAGACCTGTTCAATAAACTACACTCTACCGTGAAAAAGAAAAGGAGGGGAGAAAATCTAGGGGGGGGGGAATAAAACCAAACCTTGAACAAAATAGCAGCTTCGTCATCATGCAAAAATTACCCTTGAAAACCAACGTTCAATATATTCACAAACACATTTGTATTCACAAACGTTGCGTCTTGAAAACTTTGGAGGACGTAGAAACCGGTAAGACAAGTGCTTTGAGAACGATGATGTTCCATACAGACATTACCAACAGCTTGCGCAACGAAGGTCAGATACGGGGGTGAAGAGAGAAGTTTGTAAAAAAACCTCATTCCATTTTTGACATCGGTTGCTTCGAGCTCGCCTTTTTCAGAACTTTGCATCCAGTTCGTGAAGTTATGGAAGCGGATTCGTTTTCAGAAAACAAAAGTGATCCGTTTATAAGGCATTTTACATCATGGTGAAAAAGTCTCGCGGCGTCCGATTCCACGCTTGAGGTTCTCCAGATCTTTGACATCGAGCCCACCACGGCTTCCTAAATAAAACGTTTTCGCTTTCTTCTTCTCCATTTTTTTTTTAAAAAAGTCCTTTTTAAAAATTTTCAAACCGGTTTCCACCTTCCAAACCATCATTTCAATTCCTCCCCTCCCCCTTAGAATATTTTAAATTCCTGAGGTTGGGGAACATTTTCAGCTGTGCGAACGCCGTTGCATTGATGGGCTTGAAGTTGGCAGTGGGAGCAATGGTTTATGGAAGGAGGAAGAGGAGGAGGAGAAGTCGTGACGAAGTCTCTGTGTTTTTAAATCACGGCGTGGGTTTACGGTTGATTTGACACCGGCGAACCGGTGTGAAATGAAGTTTGAGTTTGTATTCGAAGAAAATGGAAAGCACGCATATAAATCATCGGGATTCTAAACCAGAAGGCGAAGGAAATGGCAAATGGATGGGGTTTTTCCCTCCCTTTCCTTTGCAAATCGGGCGTGCCACATTTAAGGAGTGCAACCCACTCAAAACCGAGTCCGAACAAACAAAACAGAAATGGGGTGATCTCTCAAAAAGGGCAGCCCTTTTTTTTTAAACACAGAGTCTTCAAAAAGCAGACACACAGAATAAGATCTCAGCCCCCAACCCTGCAAATCCACAGTTAAAGCACATACAGAATTCTGCTTCTGAATGGGCCAGATGATGAAGCATTCACACACACACACACACACACACAAGTGTTAACGGATCGGACACATCAACATGCAGCCACGGTGGGTGCCTTCAAGCGCCTTTGCCCGCCCCCGAGGAGATTTTAGAGTCACTGGCGTCGCCATTGAATCTGCAGGCCGGAGCAGACGGGAGACACACACACACCCCGCGCCTTTTTCCTTGAATGAAAATGGCGGGCTAACGTTTTGGCAGGATCTCGGTTGGTTTAGGTTAGGTTTGGGGTTTCTCAGGGTCATAATTCGCAGGGCCTGGTGCCAGATAACATCCAGAGCAGGATCAACTGGATTCCTACCATAGACAAGAGTGATGGACTTAATGCAGAGACGCCTCCACACTCAGTGGAATCATTCTGTTGGTAAAAGAGAGAGAGAGAAAGAGAGAGAGAGAGAGAGAAAGAGAGAGAAAGAGAGAGAGAGAGAGATTCATTAGAATTAGCTGAAACATCACTAGACAGATGTTGACTTATGTTCTGACCTCGGCTTCACAAAATCACGAAGCGGGCTCCTTGTCCCGACAAAAAAACCCTTTTTTTATGAAGCTAAGGCTAATTCCTCTCCTTCACATCCAGCAAAGTCTTTCAAAGGGTGAATTTACAACCACAGACCTTATCAGGCTTGGAGAGTTGCCAGGCTGATATCTTCCAAACGCAACAGCTGTAAAAGAAAACACTTGGCAAGGAGTCTCTGAGAGTCAGGAGCAAATCTTCACACTAATTAAGGGACCTAATTGTCTCCTGCAAACTCCGCTCCCCTTTCGCTCCTCTTTATTCCCTATGGGAGGGATTATTCACCGTCTACCTCAGAGATGGTATTCTGCTGCTTTGCCCCGGTTCGGTATGCTCCCAGTTCCAAACTGGTAGTGAAGGTAAGAGGATTTCATGACTGGTCTACTTGTGGCTTTACTCCTGAGTCGGCCCTTGTTCCTTAGCTGTTCCCTTCTCCTGGCAGCTCTGCGAATGTGCACACTGGGAAGAGGCTCCAGCTGTTCTTCTGCCTCACTGATGTCTGACTCCAAAGGCAGCTGATAACTGTCAAACGGCCCTGGCTCCCTCTCTGCTTCTGACACAGAGCCCTCATCAGAGCCTTCCCCAGACTCCAGGACTGGCCCAGGTTCCTCCCCAACCTCCTCACTGTCTGAATCTGCCGCCAGTTCCGTTGGCTGCTGGCAGGCCACAACAACTTCTTTACACAATAATCTTCCCACTGGATCCCATTTGTGCAATTTAGTCTCGCCGAGTGGGCCCATGTGAGCCTCAGGTTTCTGTGCAGTCCAGTGGTGGGATTCAGCCGGTTCACACCTATTCAGGAGAACCGGTTTGTAACTTTCTAAGCAGTTGTTGGAAGAAATCTCCTTTTGTTTTTTCCCACTTTACAGGGCTAATCCTGTAA